TAAAGCTGGGCAGTGGTGGCACACACCTTTAATCCCAGCACTTGGGAGGCAGAGGAGAATCTCTGTGAGTTCAAGGCCAGCCTGGGTTACAGAATGAGTTCCAGGAAAGGCTCCAAAGCTACACAGAGAAACCCTGTCTCAAAAAAAAAAAAAAAAAAAAACCAAAAAAAAAAATTCAAAAATAATTGAGTCACTTATACAAACTGGTATTATATGCGTGTATCATCTATGCATAAAAACTCTTTCACGCTTTAAATAATCTCTAATTACTTACTCCCATGAGTCACGTGTCCATCTATTGAAAGCTTAATAAATGGCAATATTGGGAAGTGGTAGAACCTTTACAACATGTGATCTAGTGGGAGACCCTTAACTGAGAGATCCTGTCTCTGAAAGATAGTTCTTATGAGAGGAATGCAATAAAAATAGCAAGAATGACCCTAACTCTTCCTCTGTTTCATAATTCCATATATACATAACCATCCATAATTTGAATCAAGCAAGAGGTGGCCCTTCTAACACAACCTTCAAATGTAATTTAGACTTTGAACTTTCAGTACTGAAAATTAAATGAAAGTCTTTCCTTAATAAGTACTTTATGTCAAGCATTTTGATACTAATGAAAAGCTTACTAATACACATAGTATTCTGGCACAATAGAAGTACTATGTAAACAGTTGTATGACATTGTGTTTTTTAGGGAATAATGAGAAGAAAAATGCTATACATGTTCAGTACAGAGATGGTGTGAAGAACCTGAGGTATAGAGAACTGGGTTTATCTGTTATCTTTTGGTACAGTGAGTTGCTAAGTTTTCTTCAATGTATATGCATTACTTTTACAACAAAAGAGAAAGGTTAATTTATTGGAGGAAGACTCTTCCTTAGATAAAGTAAGAAACATGAGAACTTTGAGTGAGTTGTTCCTTGTACTGAATCAGCAGTTCTCAACCTTAAATCGTGACCCCTCTGGGATCAAATGATCCTTTCACAGGGTTCACCTAAGACCATCAAAAAATACAGATATTTACATTATGATTCATAACAGTAGCAAAATTACAGTTATGAGGTGGCAATGAAAGTAATTTATGGTTGGAGTCCCAACCTGAGGAACTATATTAAAGGGCTGCAGCATTAGGGAGGTTGAGAACTACTGTACTAAGCACAAAAGGACCAGGAAGATCATCTGCCTTGAGCCGGGCAGTGGTGGCGCACGCCTTTAATCCCAGCACTCGGGAGGCAGAGCCAGGCAGATCTCTGTAAGTTTGAGGCCAGCCTGGTCTACAGAGCGAGATACAGGACAGGCACCAAAACTACACAGAGAAACCCTGTCTCAGGGGAAAAAAAAATCATCTGCCTTAGAAAAATCAGTCATATGCTCACAATTTTCCTGTTTAACTAGTTAGCAGAAAATTTTTTGAATGACACAATTCCTTCCAGTTCTCTTGTCCTTACAGCTCCTAATTATCACAAAAGGAGAGAAAATATATTATCAAGAAGCTATAACATCATGATATAAGGGCCAATCGTTCATGATCTGATATCATTGACCCAATAGTATTCAGTAATGCATTCGTAGTCATGGACTACAGATGAGCCAATAAACAGATCACCAGGGTCTGGATGGTGACAGGCAACAACTGACATAGAAACATCATGCGGAAGGCTGACTATACAATACTCATTAAGTTCACATGGTACAGTATTTGTGAGTGACAGCAGAAAACAGTAGTATGCAATGAGCACTTTGGTAAACAATTGCTTCAAATTAAATCAAGTTATTTTGATTATTCATTCCCCACCCATGCAGGAAATAAGCTGCTATAAATCCTCTTTATTGCACAAATAAGCTCTATTACTTGATTCTTTTTTGTTGTTTTTGTTTTGTTTTTTGAGACAGGGTTTCCCTGTGTAATAGTCCTGGCTGTCCCAGAAATCATTCTGTAGACCAAGCTGGCCTACCTCTGCCTCCCAAGAAATGGGATTAAAGGCATGTGCCACCACCACCCAGTTTACTTGATTCTTAATAAAGAAATCTTTGCTCTCTCAAACCTGAGAATTGCTGCCCTGGATAAAGATCCTAAAATTTTTGTTTTGTTTTGTTTTGTTTTTTGAGACAGGGTTTCTCTGTGTAGCTTTGTAGCCTGTCCTGGAACTCACTCTGTAGCCCAGGCTGGCCTCGAACTCACAGAGATCCGCCTGCCTCTGCCTCCCGAGTGCTGGGATTAAAGGCATGCTCCACCACCACCCAGCCCTGAAAATATTTTTAAATGAACTCTAATTTCAGTAATTTATTCTAAAACTCAAACCACCATTAGGAATTAGGAGAGACTGAATAAATGTATACTTTATTTCAAAAGCACAAATTCACATCAAGTGTGTCAATGGTTATAATTGTTTACTACTTTAAGCACATATAAAGAGTAGGATAACACAGAGGTTTCACTTCTCAATTACTTCTTAAGTATATCATATGATGAAGGGTGTGATGGTTCATTTCAGATGCTAATTTGATTAGATTAATAAATACCCAGGAAAATAGTAAAGCACTAATTCTGGCTATGTCTATGACAATGTTTCCAAAGGAGACTACAACATAAGTCTGACCATGGTTAATGAGGAAGGTCTGCCCTAAACAAGAGTAGGTGCCATCAGATTGGGGACCTACACCTTTCAAACATATTGTTATATATACCACTAACTTGTCACAAAGCAATTATTATACACTCAAAACTATATACATGAAAGTCTGTAAATAATATGGGAGGGTAGGAAAAACTTTGAAAAACTTAACTTTTCCTGAGATTTTAGTGGCCTAGTTTTCTAAGTACTTCATTACAAAAATTTCATACACTATGCCAGAGCTATTAAAAAATAAGTAGACTATCAGCAAGTAGAAACCCTCAAGCGGGTGTTCTGAATATGTTGGTAAAGAAAGTCAATTCGTAAGAGTGGTCTCTACCCCTTCAACTTCATCCTCCTTACCAATATACATTCATCACGGAAAAGGGAAATATTTACAAAACTTAGTTTAGTTATGTTTAAATATTATGTTTAGCTGTCTGGAGACCATGTTCTCAAGATTTATACAAGAAATCAAGGATTAAACTTCATAACAATTAGAAAACCACACTGTGTAAAATCAAAGACTTAGTTAAAGGACATTAAAATAGTTTTACCATTGGTACTAAACTGAAATGACTCCATCTCTCCCCAACACCTGGAACCGAAACCTTTTGAACTTTCACGTAAACAAACCAGGGCACACCAAATGCTCTGTCTGCTGCAAGGTACCACCTCTGTACAAAGGCCTATGAGTGAAAAATGCAGAGAATGCCTGAGGACGCTTTGAAGCAGCTTGGAGAAGTAAGAGCAGGAAAGAGGCTCTCCTCTAGGGTACGTTTGTTTAGTGGAAAGTAAGCAAGTTGTCAGGATAAAAGTTGACAATGTTGATTCCAACAGTTTGAACTGTGAATAAACATCCAAAGGGATTATGTTACTGAGAATTAGAAAGATTCCATTGAACTCAATAGAACACTAGTGTTTTCAAAGATAATATGCCTTGAGCCATACTCTGGATCCACAGTTTAGGGTTAGAATTACCCTAAAGTCTTCTATATGGCATAATAAAGAACACAGGGTATGACCCCACTAATATAATTCTAAAATTATTAAAATAAGAGGGAATAAAATATTTCATTTTAATCACTAAATTGGAAAAAGATAAATATGTATACATGTGCACATTTTGGGATAAGCTAAAGAAACCTGGAGAAAAAAAAAACTATGTTCTTTTCAAACATCTAAACTTAAACTCAGTCTTACTAACCAATTTAGGGAAATACATGCATTGGCCATAAATCATTTTTAAGTTTTCCCTCCTTAATGACCTATCAAAGAGCAAAACACAGCCTATACTTATGGATTCCATAATCCTCTTCTCTGCTCACCAAAGCCACATTTAAACCTGGCTTTCATCTCATGCTGCTGGGTTTTCCACCAGGTACAAGATGAAAAGTTGGAAGAGTCTTGTGCTTTTTCAAAAGCAAAACAATTTGGTTGCCACTCAGCAATTCCTGGTGAAATGCCAGGAAGCCTGTAAAAAAAAGTTAAAATTTTCCTAACTGAGAGTTCACAAAAAATAAATATGAGATGTTCATACTGTCAGATACTCCATCTTTTTTCATTCTTAACCATTCATAAACAAAAGAAAGCACACAGTTTTGACTTGTTAAAAGTTCATTCAAATCAGTCATCAAGTCTACCTTAGATGCTCCCAAGAAAGTGAAGGCAACTGAGACTATTCTTAGTTCACCTTGCCCTAAAGGACTCTCACATTAGAATCCATGTGAAAATCTTTACAAAGCCTAATAAAATATGCAACTTGCATGTTCTTTACTAGAAAGGTTCCTAGGCAGTCCTGCAAAATGTTGTTTTTCTTTGCAGCTCTAACTCATATTTATTTCTAGAACCAAGGATGTGGGCAAGTACAGTTCAGCCTGAAACCTCTTTATGCTTAAAAAGAAAAATCAAATCCCCCAGATACTTTCAAACACTATCAGGAAAAGAATATTCTCAGTTCTGCCTGAAGATCATTATCTTTTTTACACTTCATTTTTATATTTACTAAGTTCATAGAAAGGACATAAGCAGAAAGAAGAAAATATCTAGTTCTTAAAAAGATTCCAAATTTAGTAATCCTCTCAAACCTATTGGCACACATTTAGAAAGCTATATTTTCATAAGACTTCATTATTTTTTCATTGGTTCTGTCATTTGAAAAAAACAGAGAATCATTCATAACTTTGAACCAAAATTATCTGCAGAATTCAAGAAATATCTGTTACAGGAAGAAAAGAGTCATTACAATTAAAATGCATTTAGTTGGGTAAAGACAGGCAGATGTGAATTCATCTGGATGTCACACTAGTACCTTGCAAGCATTAACTTGCTCACTGACAGAGGTCATCGATATAGACTAATGCTCTAAGGTTCTGTTACCTGTTAATATGAGATTACTGTAAGTATTGGAGAACTGCTCCTTCAGAAGGACCAGCTGCATCTGAGCTGCCTTCTCTCTCTGGAGTTCCAGCATAATGTCAGGGTGCTGGGCGACTTTGCAGCCTTTCTGTTTATCCAAGGCAACATCACTCCGGACAATGTCTACAAAAGGAAAGATGAGAGGCAGTAAAAACAAAACAAGCATAGTTGCACAAAAGGTTTTTACCCAACATCACAGAATTTATAAATTACCAGCTTTTTTTTTTTATCAAACTGAAAAGATGGAGAAGTACTAACCCTGAGGGTCCTTTAGCTCCATACTGAATCCTAAAAATTTCTCTCCTTATTTTCCAATTCTTTGGCAATTTCTGTTTCTTAGCTCTCTCTGGCCTAACTAAAGACTCCAATCAAACACATTCCCTCTTAGCTCACCTCCAGGATTTATTTACCTTTTGGGGTCTTTTCTGAACATTATCTGCCATTCTCCAGAAGGAATAATAAAACAACTTTGAATACCAGGAACTATAAAGTTAACTTCCTCTACCTTTTGCCTTAGTATCAAGAATAAATATTCTAAATATTTGGCTTATTTTCAATTCACTTTCCAGCCAGGCCATTCAGCCTAAGTTAGGGCTGCCATTCCACGAGTTACCTAATCAGGGACTCTCCTGCTATGTTTCATGTATTACTGGAAAAATAGTTTCAATCTGACCAGGAAATCATTTTGTCAATTCAGAAACATTTTTGAGCCTCTGAAGTAAGAAAGAGAGCTCAAGTCACTGAGGCCTCTCTCCTGCTGTGTTTTCATTAATGGCAGGTTGCCTTTTGTACCTCAGTTTGATTGTGTACTAAGAGCAAATATAGCCTCCAGAATCCAGTCTTCCTCCAAAAGAAACATAGATATGGAATGCTTCCCAATCATTAGGAAACACAATCTATATACCATAATATATGGAAGTTACTTGTCCATTTTCGTCAATTAAAATATAATTTTCCGATTCTGATAGGAACAAATGATACTATCCAAAGCAATCTGAAGAGCAACTCTAGAAATTTTCAAATTTTTCATAGCTAATCAAAAGATTTTATGATTAAGAACTAAAAAGAGTCTCTGACACTATTGATACTAATGGTTTCAATGGGGTAAAAATGCCCATAGTAAGTGTACCAATAGGAAAGAATTCCCTTAAGCAGTGCAAAAAACACATACCAGAAAATACAGGGCAGGACATGGCATGAAGGGTGGGTGTTGTTCTGGACAAGCAGGCTTTTATTAGACCCCACCCCAAAGAATATCCCATCTATAAATAGAAACTCAACACAATGCATACTAGGATATGGACCACAAATATTAGCCAGATTTGAAAATCATCCATTCTACTTCTTAGATAAAACATGGTTGGAAATGATATATTATTTATACCTAAATATATTTGTACCAATTTATAGAAATAGGCAATAAAAATTAACTAATTAGCATGAATAACTAATCTCAGATTTTATGAGACTTATATACAGAGAATAAATTAAGTCAAAGACACACTCTAGATTTTAAGATTACCTGATAGAAGAGGCACATTCATTTAAATTACTAATTTCTTTGAATTTTGAATAAAAGTATTTATTTTAAATAATTAATTATTTAAGTTAAAATTATTTAAACTTTAGATTATTTCATTGAATCCTCACAACAATCTTATCAAAGATTGTGGCAGACATTGTTGACAATCTCACCCAAACCCGAAATACACCCACTTGTGCTGTGCTCTCTTCCTCTATTACAGAGACTGAAAGCTCTACATCATGTTTGTAGCTTCCCTTGAAGAAAAGGCCACACATATAACATGGTTCTGGAAAATAAGTTTGACTGGTTCTGAGAAGGAACATATTACACTGTCCTAATACCCCCAACCACACTTGGTGATTTGAAAAAAACATAATTAGAAGTAAATGAAAAGATATCAACATTTCCTTGGAAAGGAAGAACTTCTGGCTTGTTTTGATATTTTTTCTTTTCTTTTTATGTATTTGATTGTTTTAGATTTGCTTTGTTTCCTCTCACTATTTTTGCAAATCTTTTCTAGTTGTATCTATTAATTACTTAACTTCAGTATTTTCTTTTGTCCTTTCTCATTTTCATTCTTTTTCAATTCTTATGTTTAATTATATTTTCATTAATAATTTTTCTAGGGTCATTTGTATTGTAGATGTCATTTTAATAGCTTTGTGAGTTTGTTTTGTTGGGGGGGTCATTTTTTGTTTTTGCAACTTCTAGAACTGATTTACTTTTAAGTTATTCAAATTACTTTAGTTATTACTTTCCAAAATGGTGCTAAAGATCAAGGTTAACATATTGAACACAAAAAGTAGGTGCTATGATGTTGAGACAGACATATTCCAATTGACAGAAATTGCACTTATACTGTTTACAACTTAATCTGCTAAAATTTAGGTGGATATTTAAACATAAAGAAAGGAGAAACAAAATCCTACAGTTGACACTCCTGCTCCAAAGAGGTACAAACTGTAAGGGAAAAGCTAGAGATTACTAAACCTTAACCTGTATATTAAAAAACAAAGGGAAAAATTACCTAACTGGTGCAATTGCTCCAGATGCAAAAGACAATGGCATAGGTCACTACAATTATTTGTCAAACTACACAGTGGTAACAAATCTAAAGGAATAACTACAAAAACCTCATATCATTTATACTTTTCTGTTTATAAAGTAGCTATGAGGCAGACCACACTCACCTGAGTCCCACAAAGTAGGTAACTCAAGTTCCAAAACTAAGCATACAATCAGAACCCACCAAATATGACTCATAAGTCACAGGAACACTACAATACATAATCCAACTAGAATTAAGCTCAACACAAGAGTGTGGTAGCACATACCTATAATTCCAGCAGGTAAAGATGGGATGATTAAGCCAGCCTCATCTATATAGTAAATTCAACACAATCTTGAACTACATTGACCCTGGCACGCATGTGCGCACACACACACATGCACACACACACACTCACACACACACACACACACACACACACACATACACACACACAAAGAATTAAGCTCAATACTACACCAGTACAAAAGAGAAACTCAAGATAAGGTCATGCCAGAAGACGACCTATGATTGAAAGTTAAAGACATATTAATATCAACGGATGTACAATCCCCAACATAGAAACACAAGAAATATGAAAAAATAATAAGCAACATGATTCTACCAAAAGTCCATAACTTTATTAACTGCTTCAAAATATATTAATATCAATAAAATAATTTACAAAGAATTCCAAAAACTGCTTTTCAAGAAGGGTCAATGACCTTTGAGAAAACACAGGAAAATAGCTGAATATAAATAAGGAAGGCAATAGGATATAAAAATAAGAAATTCAATAGAGAAATGAAAATTGTGAAAGGATGGGGGGCCTTAAAAATGAAAGGCTAAACACAGCAGCTTTCAAAATCAGTTGAAGCCAGGCAAAGTGCTGCTCATTTACAATCTTAGCCCTCAAAAGGCTGAAACAGGAGGATCTTGAGTTTATGAACAGCCTGGACTACAGAGTAAGATCATGTCTATCATAGTTAGATCTCTTTTGCTGTGATAAAACATTGACCAAAATCAACTGGGTGAGGAAAAAGTTTATTTGGCTTACACATCCTGATCACAGTCCATCCTTTAGGGAAGTCAGAGCAGGAACTAAAGTAGAACCAGAGGGCAGGAACCATAGAGGAAAGCTGTTTACTGACTTGCCATCCACACTTGCTGCTTTCCTTCTAATACAACCCAAGACCACCAGCCCAATGTTGACACCATCCATAATGGACTGAGCCCTCCCACATCAACCATCAATCAAAATAAATGACACATAGACATGTCCACAGGCCATCCAATGAAGACAGTTCTTCAATTGAAGTTCCCTCTCCCCAGATTTGTAAAGCTGACAAAAAAAAAACAATAGAAGTAACCCTTTGTCAACTTGATACACAAACATATACCATCATTAAACCATAATCTTTTTTCCTTGTTTTTTCCCCAAGTACACAAAGTATAACTTTAATAGTCCCATGGTCTCTAAAAATTTCAACACTTTAAAAATCCAAGTTCTCTTCTAAAACCTAATGTCTCTTTAAAAATCCAAACTCTCAGCTGTGGACTCTTGTAAAATCCAAAACAAATTAAATATTTTTTTTACTGCAAGATTAACAAAAGATGTCTTTGTTGTTAGATAATATACATCCTTCTGGGTCTTTAAGGTAGTTGAAGACTAGATAGTTATAGTTGCAGTTTTTTTCTTAGTTATGGTAGAATGTAAATTAGGTATAAAACTTTAGATTCACTAAGATAGGATAGATAATGTATTATTTTCTTTGAATATGGTAACTACAAATGGAACAAATATTGTAAATTAGTTCTTACTTGTTAACTATTCTTGTTGTATGTAGTTACACTATGTTAAAGTTAAAACCTTTATTTTTATTTAGACAAAAAGGAGGAAATGTTGGGGAATATTATTTTAAGGTATGTTACTTTTGTTTATGTTGCATTTGTTTAACTCTGTGAAGCAGTGTTATGGTGCCTATGTAAAACACCTGATGGTCTAATAAAGAACTGGCCAATAACAAGGCAGGAGAAAGGAAAGGCAGGCTGGCAGGCAGAGAGTATAGATAAAAGGAGAAATCTGGGAAGGGAGAAAGAGAAGAAAAGGAGCCAGAGAAGGGGAGGACATCAGGAGCCAGCCACACAGCTACACAACCAGCCACGGAAAAAGAGTAAGATTTACAGAAGAGAACGGGGAAAATCCAGAGGCAAAAGACAGATGGGTTCAGTTAAAGAAAGCCGATAGTTAAGGCCAGGCATTCATAAGAAAGGAAGGAAAGAAGGAAGGAAGGATGGAAGGAAGGAAGGGAGGGAGGGAGGGAGGGAGGGAGGGAGGGAGGGAGGGAGGGAGGGAGGGAAAAAGAAAGAAAGAGACAGAGAGAGAGAGAGAGAGAGAGAGAGAGAGAGAAAGAAAAAGAGAAAGAAAGAAAGAAAGAAAGAAAGAAAGAAAGAAAGAAAGAAAGAAAGAGAGAGAGAGAGAGAGAGAAGGAAGGAAGAAAGAAAGAAAGAAAGAAAGAAAGAAAGAAAGAAAGAAAGAAAGAAAGAAAG